GTATATAATCCATTCTGAGTTAGCTTTTGTGCGTGCTGTGTAGTAAGAGTCTAAGTTTTTTTGTTTTTGTTTTTTTTGGCATACAGGTATCCAATTGTCCCAGCATGATTTGTTGAAAAGATATCCTTTCCCCATTGAATTGCCAAAATTCAACTGACCGTAAATATAAAGGTTTATTTTTGGACTGTCAATTATATTACTTTGATTGTCTATGTTTACACCAATACTGCAGCGTGCTGGTTACTGTAGCTGTATAGTAAGTGTCAAAATCTAGCAGAAAAAGTCTTCCAAACTCGCTCTTCAAAATTGATTTTGTTATTCTGGATCTCTTGCATTTTTGTATAAATTTTAGAATCAGCATGCCCATTTCCACAAAATAGCGTGGGTGGATTTTAATAGGGTTGTGCTCAGTTTATGGACTCATTCGGAGAAAATATTGAATCTTCTAATCCATGAACATAGAATGTCTCTCCATTTATTTAGATCTTCTTTAATTTAGCTCAGCAATATTTTTCTAAATTTCAGTACACACGATTGTCTTACACTTTTTTGATAATTTTATTCCCAAGTGTTTTATTCTCTTTCATGCTATTGTTAATGGAATTATATTCTTCATTTCATTTTCAGATTGTTTACTGCTAGTATATAGAAATAGAATTGATTTTTGTATCTTAATCTTATATCCTGTAACCTTTCTGAACTTATTAGTTCTAATAATGTTTTTGTAGATTCTTTAGTATTTTCCACATACAGAATAATGCCATCTGCAAATAAAGATTACTTTCTTTCCAATAAGATGCCTTCCTTTCCTTTTTCCTCCATCTTCCTTTTTCCTTTCCCTTTTTTTCTTTCCTTTCTTTTCTTTCTCCCTTTCTTACTGCATTGGATAGAATCTCCTGTATAATGTTGAACAGAAGTGAGTGAAAGTGAAAATTCTTGCCTTGTTCCTGCATTTAGAGGGAAAGCATTTGGTTCTTGTTGCCATTGAATATGCTGTTAGCTCTAAGAATTTTGTAGATGCCCTTTATTAGGCTGAGGAAGTTCCCTCTATTCTTAGTTTGTTGACAGTTTTTTTTTTTTTAATGAATGGATGTTGGATTTTGTCAAATGCTTTTTTTGCATCTACCAAGACGATGTGGTTATTGTCTTTTATTCTACTGATATGCTATATTACATTAATTTATTTTTGAATGCTAAATTAACCTTGCATCCATAGGATAAATCAAAGTTAGTTATGGTGTGCAATTCTTTTTGTTACTGGACTAGGTTTTCTAAAATTTTATTAAGGATTTTTCCATCTATATCCATAATGGGTATTAGTCTGCAGTTTTCTTTTCTTGCAATGTCTTTGTCTAGCTTTGGTATCAGTGTAATACTGACCTCATAAAATAAGTTGGGAAGTACTTCCTCTTCCTCAATTTTCTGAACACGTTTGTGAATGATTGATATTATTTCTTTTTCAAACATTTGATAGACTTTATCAGTGAAGCCTTCTATGCCTGGGCTTTTCTTTGGGGGAAGGTTTTTAATTACTAATTCAATACCTTTACTTATTCTAGATCCACCCAGAATTTCTATTTTTTGAATCAATTCTAGTAATTTGTGGCTTCCTGGGAAATTATCCATTTTATCTAAGTTGCCAATTCTGTTGACATGTAGTTGTTTGTAGTATTAACTTATAATCATTTAAATTTCTGTTATGTTGGTAGAGATGTCTCCTCTTTCATTCCTGATTCTGGTAATTTTTGTCCTCTCTTTTTCTTGGCGAGTCTAGCTCAGTGGTTTTCATTTGGAGGTGATTTTGTCCCCCAGGGGACATTTGGTAATATCTGGAGACATTTTTGGTTGTCCCAAATGGGGGAGTGCTCCTGGCATCTAGCAGGTAAAAGTTGGAGATGTTTCCAAACATCCTACAGTGCACAGGGCAGTCTCCAACAACAAAGAATTATCTAGGCCAAAATGTCAATAATGCTGAGATTAAGAAATCCTGGCTAACTAATGGTTTGTCAATTATGTTGATCTTCCCAAAGAATCAACATTTGCCTTCATATATTGTAGCAGCTCTGGATTCTGATTATTTCTACACTGAGGGTTGCTGTTATCCCTTGTTTTTTGTTTTGTTTCCTTATTTAGTAACTTGGCTGGACCAATCTATGGAACCTGTTTCCTGCCCTGTGTGTGGCCAGTGATGTGTCTGCTCAGTTTTTTTTTAATTCTTGTTTTAATTTTTAAGCCCAATCTCCTATGGATCACCCTTGTATCTGCTGAGTTTAGTGGTCAGTTAATAATTGTTTAGAGGTTATGCTCAAACGCCTCTAGCCAGTGAGCCATCAACTCTCTGTCAACAGATCTGTGAGTTCTTTTTAGAGTGCATTCAAAATCAGGCAGTTTTCAAGTCTCCTCCAGCTCTTATTTCCCACTGCACCTTCTCGTGTCTCATTTGTGCATGTGCTCAGGTTCACAGTCAGTCAGGCATGATTTGACAGCTTGGGCTCACTCTAGTTTTTACCCTCCCACAAAAATGTTTGGAGAGCTTGTCAAGGTCCTGTATAGCTGTCTCATTGATCAGATATCCTGTTAAATTTCTAGCTTGTTCATGGTCCTACTGTTTGCCCCAACAAGAGCCACAAATTCAGATTAGCTGAGCTGCTGGTCTTCCCAAATCCCTTACAAATTCTAGTAGCTTTTCCTTCTAAATCACTTAGCATTTTTTTGGTATTGAAGCATATTATAAGAAAAAATATATAATTTCATATCATATTTAATACTTTTAAAGATCATTTTATTTCCTTGTTATACTTGCCAGAATCTTCAAAACAATGCTGATTAATAATAGTAATAGTGGGAATCTCTGTTTTGTTCTTAATTTTAATGGAAATGGCTTTATCATTTCAACGTTTAAAATGACCACATAGTATGGATTTTCTGATAGTTACCATTTTAAAACCATATTTTAATGGTTTCTGTTAGTTTTAAATTTGTATTTTTATTAGATATGACTGCCAAATCTTGCCAATAGTTTTCTATTAACATAGTTTTATATTTTTTCCTTGAATATATTGAAATAGCAATTGTATAATACATATTCTTATATTCTTCCATTCATACCTAGAATAAAACTTTCTTATCCTCATTGCAATATTTTTTGATTCACTGCTAGGTTTCACTTAATATTATATTTCAAGTTTTGCATATATCTTCATCAGTTGGTTTAACTTTAGTTTCCTTTTCTAAACTATTTTTAAAATCAAATTTGAGTATTAAGGGTGTGATAACTTTCTACCATAAATGTGAAGATTTTCAGAGTTTTCTAAGACCAGGAATAGTTTAACAACATTGGAATTACCTCTTCTTTAAAGGTTGAACACAAGTAAGCTTTGAAACCATTTGAGCTCATTGCTCCCACCTTTTTTGTGGTGGATTTTAAAATACTTTCCCAGTTTTTTCTATACTACAGTAAATACCATTGAGTTTTAAAACTTCAAGTTTCCTGGCTTTCTTTGGAAAAACTGTATTAATGTCATTTAACATTTGTGTTATATCTTTTTTCCAAGGAGTTCAAACTGCATTATAGTGTGGGGGATCAGAATTTGCCACCCCAAAATGTGTCTCTTTGGTTTGATTATTATTATTTTTTTAAAGATTTTACTTTTTCCTTTTTCTCCCCAAAGCCCCCTGGTACATAGTTGTATACTCTTAGTTGTGGGTCCTTCCAGTGTGGCATGTGGGAAGCCGCCTCAGCATGGCTTGATGAGTGGTGCCATGTCCATGCCCAGGATCCAAACTGGAGAAATCCTGAGCCGCCACAGCAGAGCACATGAACTTAACCACTCAGCCATGGGGTCAGCCCCTGGCTTGATTATTTTTAAGAACAAAAGACTCAGGAAGAAACTTTGACCATCTCCCTAACTGCCTAAAATAATTTAAGATAGAAAGTCTGTTCCAAGAAGGAGATATCACCACAGATAACTATAGTATAATATGGACTAGGTGGGGTAGACAGGGAGGAACCTAGCAAGGCCCATTTGATCAAAGTCCTCTCCATGTCCCATTGTCTTTGCAAGGCATGGCGAACATTTGTTTACCAAACATTTGCTTTTCCACCTCCATGTGCATTGCTTTCCTCCCTTTGAAGTCCCAAACCACTACCCCCAACATCCTCCTTTGTCTTTAGCTGATGATGGTATTTAAGGTGGTAGCTTTTCGCCATCTTGGTGAGTTATTCAGTTTTCCTGGGTTTCCCCCATGTATACATGTTATTAAACTTTATTTGATTTTCTCCTGTTATTCTGTCTTAGGTCAATTTAATTCTTGGAATGGCCAGAAGAACATAGAAGCATAGAAAAAGATTTCTTTCTCCCCCACAATAGGAATTATAGAAATCAGAATATCAGGGGCCAGCCCCGTGGCCGAGTGGTTAAGTTCGCACACTCTGCTTCGGTGGCCCAGGGTTTCGCCAGCTCAAATCCTGGGTGTGGACATGGCGCCGCTCATCAAGCCATGCTGAGGCAGCATCCCACATGCCACAACTAGAAGGACCCACAACTAAAAATACACAACTATGTACCAGGGGGCTTTGGGAGAAAAAGGAAAAATTTTTTAAAATTTAAAAAAAAAAGAAATCAGAATATCAGAACATTAGAACTGGAAGGAACCTTAACAATAATCTAATTCAGATAAGTCTAGAAATATTTGGTTTAGGAAATTTGGAGATCCCTCATCTTCCAGGTTTAGATTGAGTGATGTGCTTTTAGCCAGGTATTGATACCCCCAACAGGTGTTTCCTTAGAGATAATCTTTACTCATTAACCTGATTATCTGTTACTTTTTCTAATCATTCTTTATTTCTTTTTATATTTTAGTTGTGAAGACTAATAAGAAGAGATTACTGTATATTCTCACTTTACTCTCAACTCATCTGCCCCTAAAAGTGGACAGGTTTAGAACAAGATCACGCTCTTTCTTCATGATCATTAGACTCTCTTCCACATCCAACTTACCAAGTCTTTGTCTAGAGCCCCAGGGACAGACTTGCTTCTTATGCTTACAGTATCCTCTAAGTCTTCTGGAAATGACCCACTCAAATCTAATTCAGATCGACTTCGGTCTGGAGGAAGCAAGAGAAAAGGGAAGATGTGAATCAGCTTATTTTGTTATTTTTCAGTGCAAATATTTCATCTTCATTCCAATTCCTTCTAGGCATATGGCATAGATAGTGTCATGAAGGCAATAGAGTTAGTAATTAGTAACTTCGTGCTGTTTATACTAACATACTTCAATTTTTTTAATAGTATTTTGAAATTTCCTTGGACTGAATTATCAACACGGATGTGTTCATTTCTCCTTTGATCAAAGGAGGTTAAATGCTCTACCATAAAATACTAATTTTGAAGCTGTTTAAGGCTTCTGCTTTGCTCATAGACTTTGAAAAATTCTCACAGAATGGGCCCTTAAGCTTAGAAAAACATACAACGTGAATCATTCTTAATTTCAATATTTTGAGAATTCATTGTATTTTCATATTTGGCATAAAATGCAATTAAATGAAATAGCAAGTTCCTTTCACACAAAAAGAGAGTGGCTACAGGTAAATTGAGAGGAAGTTCTATTTCTTTAGGCCCCAGAACATTCTTTCATGAGAAAAATATCTTGCTTTTGAAAATATAAATTAAAGGACAGTGCATGACTCAGTGATGCTGTGGACAGCTCGCCAAGACACGGACAGTTTATTTCCACAGGACAGTTAGTTCTATGTCAAGGCCCTGTTGAGATAGATATAGTTGCTTATAAATGAGAAAGATTGCAGAGAGCAATTAAGTGATTAAGTTTGACATGATAAATGGAATAATGCAGAAGTGCTTAGCATAGTGCCTGACACAGAGTACATACTCAATAAACAGGAGCTGTTGAACAGAAGTAGGAGAAGCACACTCTATAGCTTCTAGGCTAGTTTCAAACTTTTTATTTAACAGGTGAACAAATTTCCTAGTCTTGAACAAAATGCAACAATAACCACACACATTTAGAAAACCCTTTGGGAGCTGCCTGGCTAGGAGAGGCTCTCCAACTCAGCACACAGAATCCAGCCTTAGGCTTTACACAAATATCATCATTAGGTAACAGGTAACTTTTCATGTTGAGGATTTTGTCATGACTTTAATTCTACACATGGGACATAAACTTCATAATTATGACAGATTTCTCTAAAGAGTCTCCTTATTCATAGGTAATAAAATTGCAACATGAATAATGCCTGCTTCACAGGGTTGTTGTGACGATGAAGTATAATGATATATTTGAATGTACCGTTCAAATGAAAGGGGTTATTATTAATCCCTTAATGCTGCTTGCAAACAACTCCTTATTTAAACCATGGAATGGTTAATATGTCTAGATATAGGGAATTTCTGACCACTATATCCACTGAACTACCATTTCCTTAAACTCTTGGAATCAAGGAAATATATTTCATACCAAATGAGCCAATTATATTTCCTACACTCCTATATTGACATTGACATTTGATATAGCTCTGAAACTTGGCAATGATGACTGGCAAGAGGATACACTGCATAAATGAATTTTTCATGAATACAAGAGGCTCAAGGCATCACCTGAGTCCATCTTCAAGTAGTTCTCCTGGAATGGGCCTCCCACCAGGGGTCAAAGAATGGACGATTATTTTTCTAAGGCATGAAACACCCATTTAATGTCACACCGGGCAGTCAACTATCTGATCCGGTCATTTTTTACAACAGAGCAGTCATGCTGTAAATACCCACCTGATGAGAGGGAGGCCCCGGACACTGCTATGGAAGGTGTGCCAGAAGTGTTTCTGTGATGACTCTTTGTGACATCCTCAGAGGTGCTTTCAGTGGCAGCCAAATCCATGGAATTTTCAAAACCACGTTCCTTCTCACAAAGCAAAAATGAGAAAAACCATTATACTCACTGTAGCTTACCTTAAAACCCTTCCATATAAATATACTTCAGTGTAACTACATTTATATGTATGGCTCTTTAGGAGGAGCTAGTTGACATTTGGAAGACCCTCTTCAAGAGTCCATATAACTCTAAAACTTACTATCAATAATTACTTTCTAAATTCTATACCAAGAGGTTTGTTTATTAGCACAAAAGGTGTTTATATATGGTTAGCAAGAAAGATGATACAGGTACCATCAATCTTACATGAACTATGTAAAAGAGTCTGGCAAGCTTCATACGCTCAAAGTAGTACTCAGGCTTAGAACTCTGTTTGGTCCTAAGTTTGTCGCCATTCTCAACACCCCCTCTCCTCAACCACCCCTTACCTCCTCCACCCCCATTTAACAGAAGACCATGTAACCTTTTCCTTTTAGCAGGCTGGATGATCAGAACACAGTTGGTTACATCATTATTGGAATGAAACCTTCGTGCAAGGTGCTTATCAAAGTTCGTAAAAGGATAACGAATGGGGACTTCCCCAGCTTACAGGAATAAGTGACTTTTTTGCCTGCCTGCTTGCTAATAAATGTTTGTGCACATGGCAGAATTCAGTCTGAGATTTTCTTTTCTTGTACCATGTGATAAGGGAAAACTATGTCCCGGCTTTGCCTTTGCCTATAGGGGCTTGACCGCTATATCACTCCAAGTTTGCCAGAGCATTAAAAACTAGTTTTGGACCTTTTGAGAACTGGACCAGGTTAAACGTCCATGCAAATGACACCGTGGTATAATAATAATCAAATCTAAAAGAGATTTTTCAATTCCCTCCTCCATAAAATCAAAAAGTGCCTTTCAAAGTCCTACAGGAAGGACTTTCCTCCGTGTTGCCCTATATTTAGCCCATGCCTTAGACATTAAGTGAGACTTTGATGAACTCACCCCAGAGAGATGTGCCTCTCATTTGTTTAGCATGCTAATCCATGCAGCTTCAATACACACTGTTTTTGGCCCTTGATTATTCTCCAACACATACTACCTGTAGCAAGAGGAATATAGCTCCCAATTCCTCTAATTGCCATACACTACCAAGGTTTATCAAAAGACCCTGACAGAGGTCAAGTGGATAAATTTGTTTAGGTCAGTTTTCAACACCTCTTCAAAAAGTTGTTCACACATGGAGTCCTCCAATGAAGCAAGACCAACTTCCTTAGTGGCAATTATGTTGACAGCGAATTTTTCAATTGGCACCCAAGGATTATCCTTCATATTGAGCACTACTTGGCTCATTAATATTGTACAGTCATTAACATGCAATACATACGCTGGAGATTCAGGATGTGAAGCCTAAAATTAACAAGTTACATCACAGCAGAGGACAGGTTAGAGATGTTCGTGTTCTAAGAGTTTTCCATTTCAAAAACTTACCTCTCACATGTTAAAGCAGAAAAGAACAGTGAAACAAAGAGATACTGACAAATGGGAGAAATTGAGAAGTTGTTACCTTGATCATCATCTAACTCTATATACTTCTTCCCTTCACCATGAAAGAGAAAATGTGCTTCATAAAGTACTGTGGTGTCTTATGTTTATTCAACAGAAAATATTTCTCTTTGTCTCTTTTTCTCTTAGGAAAGACTAGCTATATCAGCTAGAATGCAAGAGTGAGCTCAACATAGGCACCACCTATATATATATGTACATAGACTCAACTCAATTGCAGGGAATGTCTGTTGGGGAAATCTAGGCATTGTTTAATAAAGAAATACTCCTGTAGAGGCTGTTAGTTTTGAGAATATTAGCATGTGACAAGGGTGATTCTTTCCCCTAAGTTTTTTCCTCTAAGTTTGAGAACAAACTTGACTAACTTACTGGTCATTGAACTGACAGTTTGCTGCTCCCCACTGGGACAGCTGTACTAGCTGTTAAACTTGTTAAAATACTTCTCTATCAGTTGGTAAACAGCACTACTCCCAGTCCATTCTGCCTTCCCTCTTCCCCTTACCCCCGCTCTTCCACAACCCTAGTTTTCCCCATAATCTGGGTCAATGCGTGGAAGGGTCCCCATGATACTGCTCCAGCCTTGTGCCAGCGTCTGTTCTGATTGCTCGGTGCCCCTGCCATACCGGTTACTAAATGATATTTTCAACATTATTCCTTGCTAGGTTGCCAAAGAAGTGAGCGTAATCATCAACTATCCACATGCTTTTCCGGCTCTTGAACAGTACTGCTTGCCGAGCTCAGAATAAATATTTAAGAAATTTTAAATATGCCTTATATCTTTTTCTTTTTTCAACTGGTATTTTCTCTCTCTCTCTTTATTTAAAGTTTTTATTTTTTCCTTTTTCTCCCCAAAGCCCCCCAGTACATAGCTGTATATTTTTAGTTGTGGGTCCTTCTAGCTGTGGCATGTGGGATGCTGCCTCAGCATGGCTTGATGAGCAGTGCCATGTCCGTGCCTAGGATTCGAACCAGTGAAACCCTGGGCCTGAGTGCGTGAACTTAACCACACGGCCACAGGGCCAGCCCCTAAACATGCCTTATATCTTATTGACAAGTACAATTTAGACTACAAGTATTTAAATATATCTATTATTATTATTCAATCTGTCTGAATGCCTTTTATATCTATATATAAATACAGATATATCTAAAATATCTATAGAATCTGATTGTTCACAACCTCCACTTCTAGCTCCCTGTTCCAAAGCTCAGTCTTCGTAATGCAATGGCCTTCTAACTGGCCTCCTGGCTTCCACGCTTGTTCCCCTACAGCTGCTTCTCAGCACAGCCCCCAGATCATGCATAAACAGAAGCCAGATCATGTCACTCCTCCACTCGAAACCCTCCATCTGCCCCCATCTTATTCAGAACAAATGCCAAAGTACATACAGTGGTCTACAAGGCCCCATCGGCCCCATTACCTCTCTGAACTCATTTCCTTGTACTCCCCTCTTTGTTCACTCACAATAGCCACACTGGCTTCCTTGCTCTTCCTTGAATATACCAGCCATGCTCCTACCTCAGGGTCTTTGCACTGGCTATTACTTCAGGGGCATTAAAGATATTTTAGGGGGCCGGCCCCATGGCCAAGTGGTTAAGCTCACGTGCTCTGCTTCGGAGGCCCAGGGTTTCGCTGGTTCGAATCCTGGGTGCAGACATGGCACCACTCATCAGGCCATGCTGAGGCAGTGTCCCACATGCCACAACTAGAAGGACCCACAACTAAAAATACACAGCTATGTACTGGGGGGATTTGGGAGAAAAAGGAAAAATAAAATCTTAAAAAAAATATAAAGATATTTTAAACATTGGTTGAGCAAGGGCACTGCCCAGTCAAGATGGAGCCCAGCCACAAGTAATTGGAATAGCCTTCCTCACCTGTACCTGCTGAATATCAGTGCTGTCCCTGCCTGGAGTAACACCTGGCCCCAGACTCCCGCACAGCTAATTCTTTCACTTCCTTCAAGTCTTTGCTTGACCAGGGCCTGGTATATAGTAAGTCCTTATTGAATATTGGCTGAATCAAATAACTGTAGCTCGTATATAAAGATTTCATAGATATAGATGTCAGTTATGTGTACGGAGTTTTCTGCTTAATCAAAAAATCTAGTAGGGGCAGGCCTGGTGGTGCAGTGGTGAAGTTTGCATGTTCCACTTCGGTGGCCCGGGGTTCGCCGGATCGGATCCCGCATGCGGACCTACAAACCGCTTGTCAAGCCACGCTGTGGCAGGGGTCCCACATATAAAGTAGAGGAAGATGGGCACGGATGTTAGCACAGGGCCAATCTTCCTCAGCAAAAAGAGGAGGATTGGCAGCAGATGTCGGCTCAGGGCTAATCTTCCTCAAAATAAAAGAAATCTAGTAGATGCTCATTCACTCAAAAGAACAGCTTCCGTACACACACATATCTTACGCAATTTAAGTCTTCATAATGTGTCGACCCCTTATTTTAACAGACATATAGAAAATAAAACTATAAAAAGATGTCAAGGTTCTACTTTTCCTGATTTAAATCAGTTTGGAGAAATTTCAGTGCAGTTAACTTATGAATATCTTGAGAATTATCAGAGAGAATCAAAATCGAAGACTTCTAAAATTTATATTTTCTTTAAACCATATAGCGATTTAAACCCCCATCATCAAATGTCACCTTTGAACCTGCTCCTTCCCTTCCCTTCTCACTTTAGGCTTTCTGCCAAGAGCTAAGGATGCAGGAGTTTCAGTCCTGCTAAAGAAGCTTGTACCATTAAACAGGGTAAACAACATGCTCTGAGACACAGAGCGATGAAACCCAGCCAGGCCAGAGCAGTGATGTTGAGTCCCAGAAGCTGAGTGTCCCTTCAAATTTGTGTACTTACTCTACTGCTGACTGAGCTCATGCTGCGTGTGCTTGCGGCTGGTGACCTCGGAGTGACTGGGGTCATACCATTGTTCCGGCTGCTCTTCGGGGTCCCAGCACCAGCTTCCTGGTCATTGAGATCGGATGAACCAGTGCTTCCCCTAAATGAGAAAGAATATTCTGACTTTAACATGGAATCAGAGCAACCAAAGACAAAGGGAAAAGCTTACAAGAAAATGACGCCATGTGACCCACATGAAGTACACCAGAGCCACACTGGAACTGGCCTGCATCTATCAGGTTGCCCTGCTCCTCAAAGACCTTCAGGGGCTCACTAGGTTCAATCCCATTTGTCTGACTCCAGGTCTTTGTAACTGAGCTTCATTCTGCCTTTCCAACTTTATTTCCCGCTACTCACCTGCATTCTCCCAGCCAGTCCAGGTTCCTTACTATTCTCTCAACTTGTCATACTCATGCTTCCACCTCTAAGGCATTTGCTCGTGTTCTCCTCACCTGATATGCCTTGTTTACCACTCTCTGTCTATGAAAATCTTTCCTAGCCTTCAAAACCCAGATGAAGTCCAGCCTCCCCCATCAGGCCTTTCCTGTCAATCATAGGCCCTGTCAACCTCTGCTCTACTTAATTCCTGTTGACTTACAGTCTTTGCCAAACTATGTAGCTCTTGACTACAAATGTCTTGTTTGGTTCCATGATTGGTTCACATATGTGGGCCTGAGTGCCTTTTTCAGCTGCGAGCTCCTTGTTGTCAGAGTCCCTGATGTATTTACCATGATATCTCCAGCACCTTCGTAATGCCTTGGTGGGACGGAGGCACTCAGCACATATTTAATCAAAGATTGGGAATAATATATCCTTTTCTCTGTGTTGTTCTAGTGTCTGACTCATAGTGCACATTTAACAAATGTAGCATAAAAATAATGAAATTCAGTAAATGGGTTTGACTCAGTTTCATGTTTGCTAAAAGCGATTCGATTCCATTCAATAATGATTAATGAAAAAACAGTTCCTGCCCTTGAGGTGACCACAATTTTCTTATTAAGTGGAGCTTCATAAGTAACTATAAGTTTTGACAAATTAGAGTTTAAGAGAAGTGTTTGTTCTTATTTTAGTCTTCGCCCTCAGTAAGCAGAAGATATGCTAAGTGGTAAAATATAAGCCCATATGAACTTCACTCTTTCAGTTACTATTTTAATAAGTTATAAGTACACGTATAATAATAAAAATCTTATTGTTAAAGCACAGCAGTGATCATTAATGGTGATTAGGTCTTACAAATTGAGCCAATCAGAGGAGAGACTTAAAGGAATAGAGGAAGGATTCTTTTAAAAGAATGTCTGGCTGTGTACACGTCATAACCAGGAGACAAATTTGGCAGAAGGAAGAATCAGCAATGACCACTGAAGCTATCAACCGCAGCTCCTAAGTTTTTTCAAGGCTGTGCGCCAGAGAAGCTGCCAAAATTAACTATGCCCTGACCGATATCACCAGCTGCCACCACCTTCAATAACTACACAAATAGCAGCTGCATTTACTGAGTATTTTCCAGGTGTTAGACACTTTCTGTTCTCCAACATCACTGGGGAAAAAAGCTATTAACCTTCCTGTTTTAAAGATGAACACTGAGTCTTGGAGAGGTTAAATAATTATTCCATACATGCATGCACACGAGCGCGCACGCGCGCACACACACACACACACACACACACACACACACACAAACAAACCATGCTGTCACACAATTCGTACATGACAAAGTCAGGATAAAAACAGAATTGTCTGTCTCCCCAAAGCCTGTGCTCATGCTAGTTTCTCATGCTGCTTACTCATCATTTCACCAAGATCAAGTTGTTACAACCAAGCAGGTTCTACATTGATACAATGAGCTATCAAGAAGTTAATCAAAGTGTCAGAGAGCTGGGAGTTAGTTTCTTGGAATTTGACTAAGAGAACTATGAAAATTTTCTGGGTAGCATTCCTTTGATACTACATAGAAACAGTGTCTTCTTTCTAGAGATGGCACTCTGAATAAATTATAGTACTATAAACTCTGCTCAGGAGGGATCTATGACTGTGTCTTTCGATTCTGACAACAAGAGAATAGAATTTTGTGATTAAACAGATTGACACAATTTGAAATTCTAAGTTCCTTGGTGATTTTCCTGAGCCCTCCTGCCTCAGGTGCAACATTTCCACATTTTTCATGTCTTTCCAAGTGATTCTGCTCATCTTTGAAGTTTAACTTAGAAGGGGCTTTTACCACAAAAATCTCTCTCCCTACTGTTTCAGGTAAAATCTCCTTAAAAAAAGAAAGGCTAGGAGTGAATCTTGCAGAAATGAACCAAGAAGTTGTGATCCAAAGGGATTCATGTGGGTATTTCTGTTTGAGTTTGTGCTGAAGGTCCTCTCCAACCTAGGCAGTTTTGAAACAGTCCCCATCATGGATTGGCCTTGCTAGAAGGAAAAGTCCTATTTACGTAGACGCTCCAGCAGAAGTTAATTAATTGTGGTGATGACATTCAAGAGTCTAACATGCAATAAGGAAAAAATTCTTGTGATTGTAAATCAGCTACTGGAAATTATTGTCACCAGAAGCATTATCTCAAAAATGACATATACTTTCACATTTTGCCCTGACATTTACTGTGGGTTTCTCAAAAATATTTTCCTCTCAGTTGTTTCAGCTGATTAGACTAAAAAAGATTTAGTCTAAGGAGGCAGAATATCATAAATATTTGGGTACCAACTCTGAGATGTTATGTAAAATATGACATAAAATACATAAATCTTTGCCACTTAACAGGAAAAGGATAAAAGTTCCCTCAAGTCTAAATTAAAGAAGTTTAAAGTTCAATTAAGAAAGAGCTATTTTTGATTCAACTATCATGTTATTGACATTTAAATTAGAAGTATTAGAAATCAGTGCCAACAAAACTTCACGCTAAAATTTGCTCAAGGGGAAACTACAAGAAAGAGATACATTTATCTAGTTCTAATAGGGCCCAAAGTGTGAAAATATGACGCTGTCTGGGGAGCTTGGATATTCTGGGTTACTTGAAAGACACATTTCCTAGAGTAGGAAAGAGTCTCATTTACTTTAGCTTATGAAATATACTTTAAAAGCCTACTATTTTATAATCTCTAATTTTATGCTGGCCTAAAACCTTGATAATGGCTTCCTAGATACGCCCATTTCTAGATAAAGGGTCCAAGGTTAGGAGACAGAGGCTATAATTTAATTAGTTGCCTTTCTGGTTTACATAATGTTCTCCCAGGAGTAATGGTCCAGAAAGAATTTCCCAGGAGCCAACCTTCCCAGAGTGGGCTGACAATGTTATGCCTGTGCCTACATGGTCAAATGAGTGCTCTTCTAAGGAAAATCAACCAAAAGGCAGCATTAACCTGAGAGATAACAACACTCACTGAGACAATGAGGCTAGTGCATAGCATAACATAGAGACTGTAGGATATTCTTTCTGTGGTTTATGAGCTTTCCTAACTTTTAGTTATTTCAGAGCTGAAACCAATATATAAGAAAGACAGGCAAGGGAGGTTGTAGTTCGAAACTGAGGCAAGACTGTTAAATGGGAAAGAGAGAATTAAAAATGAGAAATAAAGGGGAAAAACATTGAACATAGCTCAAACTCCCAGGCTTTGGGGATCCCCAAATGCTATGTCTTTGTCAATATGTGAGATGGGTGATCCTCACCCTTGGCTGCATATCAGAAACACCAGGGGAGCTTTCAAAAGCCCCCATGCCCAGGCCACACCCGAGACTAATCTCATCAGACTCTCTGGGTGTGGGATCTAGGCATCAACATGTTTTACCCCCCACCCCAAGTAGCCAAGACTAAACTATGGATTAGTTTAAATTCACTGATCTCAGAAATCTCTCCACGTGCATTGTTCCCTCCTCTCATACCACTGTTTTCTTTATTCAGCACAATGCTCACATCAAGAGAGCTGAGCTGTCCTCATGGCTCAGAATGTGATAAGTGGAAGTTCATTTTCTATGTTAGTGACTGAATGTGCTGCACCAGGGCTCAGCAAAGTATGGCCCATGGATTGAATTGGGCCCACCACCTGTTTTTGTATAGCGCATGAACTACGAGTGGTTTTTATATTTTTAAGCAATTTAAAAAAAATCAAAAGAAGAATATTTTGTGATGTGACAATTACATGAAATTCAAATTTCAGTGCCCCAAAATCAAGTTTTATTGTAATGCAGGCATGCCCATTCATTTATGTATTGTCTATAGTTGCTTTCATGCTCCAACAGCAGAGATGAGTAGTTCAGACAGGGACAATATGGCCAGCCAAAAATATTAACTATCTATACCTTTATAGAAAAAGTTTGTGGATCCTTATGTGTGTGCCCATTCACTCAGGCACACAAACACACAGATATGGGTGTCTTCATTAAACAACCAAACTCTTTGGAGAGGTCAATACATCCCAAAGGAATGAATTTCAGCTACTGAGTGCACATGTGTATATGTGTGTATGTATGTGTGTGTTATATTTAGGCACATGTGAACCATCACAGGAGCCCTCGAATGCAAAATTAGGGAAGCAAAGAAAAGAAGTTGCAGAAATTCATCAGGCAGCTTCTCTCGCTGTAGTTTCTTCTGAAGCCACTGGCATTCTGTGGCTTAATTACACATATTTTCCTTCCTTTTCCTTTTTGGAGAAATGTCAAAGATAATACCTTATGGTGGGTGCTCAATGAAATTTTGTTCAATGAATCTTAGTGTTAATTATATAAAGAACTGTGGAAATTAATAAAAGAAATCTTAACTAAATTGGAGTTGGGGAGGCCTGTAGGTGGAGCTCTCATACCCTGTCATACATTGCCAATTATACCAAACATAAAGAGACATACACTTCATCTTTAACAGGTAGTAAAACTACTTTACTACTGAAGGAAGATTTCTCTCTCTACCCGGCAACAGCCCAGCCAATGAGAAGCTGTTGCTGCCTTGAACTGTTACTGTCCCTCAGTGGACTTTGGTTTAGAGCAACCTCTCCCTACTCCCCCCTTTTCTCTATAAAAGCAACTTTCCTCCTTTGTTTGCTAGATTTCCCTATGGTTTGCCATAGCATGCACATCCTGAATTGCAATTCTTTTGGCTACTCCTGAAT